TTTGTTAGTTAACTCAAAGAGGAGGAGGTCAGCGCTCATACCACTAAGAATTGTGCTACCGGCTCTAAAGCAAAAGGTGACCACTTCTTGTTTTGAGCCAGAATCTCATTAATTCAGTGAAGGTTAAGTGTCTCAACAGACAGTGACTCCTGCAGATGCCCGTTTGAGAAAGTTATTATGATCTGCTCAGGAAAATGGCACATTAAACAAACAAAATGTAATGAGAAGCTTTCTAAGATTAGACTCTGTGAGATAAAGATCAAAAGTTCAGTCGCAACGAGGGCCTGAGAGAAAGTTGTGGTTCTTATAATAAGCTCATCAGCAGTAGTACCTCTGAGTACATTTCCATCACTGCGGCACTCCTGCTTTCATAGGCCACATTATTAGTTTCCCAAAGAGGCTGTGAGCTACAGTATGTACAGTAAATAGGATTAGGGTGACATGCTGAAATGTCCAGACCGATGGAGCGGAGATGCAGAGCGTCAGCTCATCTGGGTGAGAAAGGAAGGTGAGTCCAAAATACAAAACCATTTTTTAACATTCAGAATTCAGCTATAGATTAGATTTTACTTTTTTTTATGATTTAAGACCCTTAAATATGAATTAAGGGCATATTATCCTACATTTAACTGCACTCAAACATGACCCTAACCCTAACCCTAAGTGCATCATTCGGCTGTTAGTCATCTTGAGTCTTTCAGGCAGGCTGACCAAGAGAAGTTACTTCTTACACAAAATTTCAGATTGTTCCCTAATAATAACTGTCAGCCGTGGTAAGAGCCTGAGTGACGCAGACCTGCTCCTTCGCTGCTCCATCTGATGTGATATTATACTATGCTCAATTTCCATGACCCAGAAAAGGTCTGGTAATTTATCACAGCCAGTGCAGACTTGCATATCAGCTGAAAACCTATTTGGCTTTATCACGTGGAGCAACCAGCTTCATGCCATTTAAAGGTTGGTTGAGAACATCTGGGTACATCTGTGGGATTTTTCTAGGTGGGTATTCATACTGATGGATTTTAACTGAAGCTGAAAATATTTTAAAGTGATAGAAATAAGCCTTCATATTGCTTTACAGGTGTGATATGTAAGATTTTTTGTTTAAAACATTAAAAAATTAAAAGAATTATCAACAGAATGTGAAGAAATAACTGTTTTGATGTGATTGTGTCTCTGTGTTGCAGAGATATTGAGATTAATGGATTAGTTTACACTCCAAGCAGACACTGAGCAACATTAAAATTAATTTGGAGTTGTGTTTCTTGTGACTTGATGAATTTCATTCCAATATTTTCCCTTTTTATAGCTCTATTTTGATCTCCACCAACTAGAAATAGCTTGCTAGTTGCTAACCTTGTTTGTCGTTTGGTGCTGGGCAAGTTTTTTGCTGAAAACAGCTTTCTGCAGCTGCTGGAAACAATAGTGATGAGGCCAGTGAGAGTAAATCAAACCGTTCATTTGATAGTCAGATAACCAAAACAATGAGCTAAAACAGGCTATAAAGCTGCGTGGAACTGGTGGGGGATTGCAGGGTCGGGTGAGAATAATTCTCTGTGGGTTTGCCACTTTAAGTAACCCCTTTCATATTACATATAGTCATTTGATCCATTGTCCATGTACAAATATTGATTAGTGCAGCTTTAAATTTGATCAATGTCATGCCAATAAATACATTCAATGTCTCCTGCAAATGTTTAGAAATGGTCATGTGAGATGCTTATTACTAATACTAATACTAGTAGTAATTACTTTTATGGAATGTGATATAGAGCAATTCCCACTGACCACCAAGCAGTGTATGAAGATTAGTTATACACTCACATAACAAACCCTCCTTTCTAAATAATTCTCAACTTAATGAAAAGAAGTTTAATGAGGAAACAGAAGGGAGGGAGGAGGGAGGGAGTAGGAATGGTGGGTTTGAAGTGACTCATTTCCAGACTCATTATTGGCGTGTATGTGTGGGGCCTGAGGCAGGACACAGGCCCCACCATCGAGTCCCACAGGGGGACACTAATGACAAACATCCTGCTTCACGGTGCAGGAGACACTCCATGCAACACATCTGCTTCTTATTCTCACCCTGCTTACTCTTACTTGTTCTTTCTCCAGAGAAAAAATTCCCTTGCTTTCACTCCCACTATCTCTCTCTCACACACACACACACACAGCCGCTATTGCACCATAAAAGACGACAAGGCAGCTTGCACATATTTTTTTCCTGCTCGTTGATACAGACACAGCAGTGCATCCCCCTCAACTTCCTTGTTGACAATAAATAAATGGTTCACTGTGTGGTCGTGTGTGTTTGTTGTACATGAATTATTCAGTGGGGTGTTTATGTTGTGTAGGAAATACGATTTGAAATGCTTCAACAAGTCTGTGTCTGTGTCAGGCTCTCCGGAAGACAGGAAGACAGGAAGACAGAGAGATACAGAAATACTTCTGTCTCCCTCTTTAGCTCTTCTTTTTTTAACATCAATTCACTCTTATTTGATCTCTCTGTGGGTTCATCAATAATGCAAAGATAATTTAGACTCTTTAATATTGGGAGCTTGTATTTATGGTATCTAGTAAAGTATTCACCAATCCCTTTAGAAGCTTTCATTTTTTATGAATCAATGTAGATTTAATGTAGCTTTTTTTTACACTTATTAACAGAAAAAAATTGGCAAACACTCCACCACAAAGACAAAGGAACACTCCAATCAACTCTGCAAAAAGATGGCCTAAAGGCACAAGTCAGTGGATGGGAATAAGAAAATTAGAAAAGTTACTGAACATCCCTTGGAGTTGGAGAAATGATGGCACCGCAGTAAATCTGCCCAGAGCCTGTTGTCCTTAACAAGACTATAGCTGTGCTAGCAGCTCTGTGAGACTGATTTGGGCTAAATGCTAATGTCAGCATGCTAACATGCTCACAATGTCAATGTTAACATGCTGATATTAAGCAAGTATAATGGTCAACTGTTCACCATTTTAGTTTAGTGGGTTAGCATGCTAACGTTTCTGAATTATCTCTGAACACAATGCACTGATGGGAATGTAAATCATTTTGGTATTAGTAGTATCAGTATTAGTCATAAAGAAACATATAGGACAAAATAAAATGTTGACCTGATGATGGTGCTAGATGAAAAGCCACATTTCATGCCAATTCATTCAACAGCTGTTGAGATATTTTACAAAAAAAAAAAAATGTCAACCTCTTGGTGATGCTAAAAGGCAGATCACCCCCAAAGTCATTAGGATCCATCCTCAGAGAATTATGAATGGCTGTAGTCAAATTTGTGCCAATCCATATGACAGGTGTTTAAATATTACAAGGGATGAGTTAAAACTTCAACCTACTGGGGGCACTAAAGGAAAAGGCAGGGATTACCAAAAGTTGGGACTATTCATTGTCTGTGGAACATAAATATCTGTACAATATGTGATGGAGATCCATCCAGCAGATGTGAAGATGTTTCAGTCTGAACCAAAGTGTTGGACAGTCGGACTGACAACAGACAGACATTGCCATCCATAGACCCACAACATGAATAAGTGACATGAGTGCAAAGAGACTACAGAGGGTTGCTACCAAGAGACCTATGAGAACTTTGAAGAAGTTCCAAGCTTCAGGGTGCTTCACCATGTCGCAGCTATAAGGAAAAAGGAATCCACACAGACTGGGGTATTTGCTAGATACTGACTTGGAGGGAAGACTGAGTAGACCTACAAGTATTTTATATTTGTAATTAATTTAGATCACTTCATAGAGTTCTCACTTTGACATTAAAGGGTCTTTTTTTGTGGAAACTTCCAATACTTTTAATGGGCACCATATTCTATTATACTAATAGGCTAGTTCTTCTTGAGCTCATCTTTAAAGTGTGAAATAGTGAGTATACCTGACATAAAGTGGGTTAAATAAGGAGTTGAAAGTAAGTGACAATGTAGCTGATTTCCTGCCAGCTGCTGTGCCTGATGATGCTCAGAGTCCTTTCAGGTCTCAAAGATTTATTTACACTGGTGCTAAATTGAAAATACACGAATGAAAAAGGAGAAAGATCGAATACCATTCACACATACTCACACAGGCACACACAACCAGCCCAGGCCCTCGCAGGCGCCTTTTGGGCATAGGAGGGCTATTACACTGTCAATACATGTACGTCATAAAATCTATGCATGTTTTCCCTCTGGCCATTATTGTTGCTTATGTTGATGTGGCGAGCTGTCATTGCTGTGAGTTGTGGGACTGAGAGCCTGCAGCGGTGCCGATAGCCTGTGTCTGTGTGTGAATGTGTGT